AGGCTTCCCCTGCTCATATCGAGCAAAAAGCTTCTTTGATTTGATTTAATAAGAGACCAACGTTCTTTATGGATCAAAGCTATGACTTACCGATTCATAAAATGCTTCATCTAGGTCCTCCATGGCTACTGCCTGCCGATATTGTGAGAAAATTAAGCCATTTACAATTCCTTTCTGTGCGACTTCACAGGTTGGTCTTGGAAGAATTAAATCGTCAGGCGAGATTCTGCGTTCCATTTTGTAGCTGAAGTACACATGCACAAAACCATCAGTTCATAAATCATTTATCTTTCAAGTAACAAAAAGCTCATAAAATATGGCTCACTGTTTTCAGCAGAAATAAGACGATTTCTACAACCTCTTACTCCAGCTGGATAAGCAAAACTTGATTAAGCTGAGGAACAGCGCTTAGAGAATCAAGCGGACTTGATGGTAGTGGTTCACAATCGAACACAGCTCAGGCCAATCAGTCCCTTATTTCCATAAAAACCAAGAGCTCCGTTGTTAAGTCTTAAACTTCTACGGTCTAAAAGTAATTTCCCCGTATGATAATCATGCAACTCCTAGTGGGCTGGTGATGAAAATTCTATGTTAAACAAAAAAACTATTCGTCTTACTACATGATTCTTCTAATTTAAATAAACCGTCTAGTTTACTGTTTTGAAAATGTAAAGAGAGTATATGATTTGCTGATTACTGCTATGTGTAAGAGTAGGAAACATATCATATCCTTCTCTTGATCTAGAAAAACAAGTCGCTGATTTTATGAATCATAGAATGCATTTTAATCATGGAAAAACATTTTTCAAGTATTTTTATATTAATGTATACCACACCGGTGAATAGTGCTTCTCGCGCGCTGATTGTTAGTTTGCAGTGAGGTGAATAGCAAGTACTATTCACCTCCGAGTAGCCGATCAGACAAAATCATGCGTCAAGAGTTCAATTTCCGACCATTTTTTTGTATGTTAAAAGAAATAAACTTATTTCTTGTGTATCTGTGTAGTATATACTGGAGCAATTATTAAGTTCAGTTTCGTTGAAAGTGGTAGATATTTCCCTCGCCGCTTCGCGGCTGGGTAAATATCCATCGCTGTTCATCGAAACTGAGGTGAAAAATTGTTAAATCTAATTATTTATAGATATATTTGAATGCAGTGAGCTTTGTATCCTCACGACTAACTGTTTTTATCTTATGCTGAAAAGTATCTGAACATTTGGTATCGAAATGAATTCTCATGAAAGTGAACTCTCTCTCTTTTTTTTTTTTTCGATCTATTCTGCTGGTAGGCTAAGCATCAGAGCGATGAGGAATACAGTGATGTTTTTAATCTCACGAAAGCGGACTGAGAACGTTTTCTTGTTCAGCTGATACACTAATTGATAGTGAAAGTAAATACAGTGAATCTTAAAGCTTTACGAGAGTCGACGTACTGTCTCTTGACTACTCATTTCTTATACCACAAGTCACAATATGATTTCTATATATTCATTGTCATTAAAACTAATCTTGGCTGATATGAAGTGTTCGATGTCCTTTTGCTGTCACTCGCCTCCAGTGATACCAACAGCATCCAAACGTGGAGAATATCTAGTAAACCCAAAGTCAGTGTCAAAAACCAAAAAAGTCAAACCTATTCAGATTTGCTGAGCTGCTTATGGCAGACGATGAAATATTCACACGCACTGATACACTCGTTAATGTAAATCTCCCTCGACAACACATTTTGTTCTTCATATTTGCATACAACGTGAAATTTTTCTGTTTGGGGTCAGGAAAAATACGTCCTTTAGCAAAGAGAGCTACAGCGAAGTTTAATGTCGTCGTAATATAGGTTGAAATAAATAAAAATAATAAAAAAAGCAACAACAAAAGTTTGTATTATAGGGAAGTAAGCCGCTTAACACAAGCAAGGGAAGAGCCGAAAAAATCAACAACGATAAGGAAAGAAAGGATGGAGGAGAAGCGCTAACCTTGAATGTTTAATTCTAAGTCTTTGTAAGATTTACAGAGATGAGAAAGCAAAAAGTATGACCTCGTATTGTATGAAACAGCATTTAGCCGCTGAATTTACAACAATGTACTGTGCTGTATTCAGTGCGAATTTAGATTTTATTGTACTATTCAACAGTGCATTTTTTTCCGAGACTAGCATGGGCTGCAAATAGAAATCGCTTTTTTCCTTTGTTTGCTTGAGCCCTTTATTCAAAGGCAGCAATTTCCCAAACAATGACAACAACCTTGGTATTGACAAAGGCATCAGATTGAAGAGCTGATGACTGTCCCTCAACCAATTGTATGGGTCTGGTAAGGTAACGCAGTAGAGATCTACCTTAAAGCAAATAGCTACAAGTTTGCTGAAAATTAAACTCAAACTCGACTGACATTTGGCTGAAATATAACACAAATTTCACTGGAACCGCCGTGGGCCCACGAAATACATACACCTACATTGATTTAGCTATGGTAATTATTGACAAAAGAGCCAATCTGAAGGTTCTCTTTAATCTCTCCCTTTTCCAAAATTGAGACATCTATAGCGAGTTTCGCTCGTTCCGTAATCCCCTAACTGCTGTAAGGAAGATTTCAAACTCCAGTTAAACAAAATAAAACGACTTAAGTCCTGTTTATACAAGTTTAATTCGAGCATATACGGTCAGCTAAGATTACCCGGGAACACAGAAAAATTTCTGCACTGCATGGAGGTCAAATTCAAATTAAATTGAATACCCTGTATTTGTTCGCCTTGCTTTGCTGACTTATTATTGCACTGTATTGACTGCAACCCTGGCCATTTGTTAGTACTACAATGTAGCACCTAGCTGAGTTCCTGAAACAAACTGAAACCATGTAAATCCCATTTAGAAAGTTTAAGGTGAACAAGCTCTGTAGGGTGTGGTTGCCCGGGAGCACAAAATAACCACTTCATCAGTCATGACTTTCATTTTCCATCGACTGAATTTTACTGGAACTTAATAATTCTTGTTTAGGACCAAATCTAACTTAGTCTCTCCCTCTTCCAAAATTGAGACATCTATGGCGAGCTTCACTCATTCTTTATTGCCTTAACCGCTGTAAGGAAGATTTCAAACTCCCTTAAACAAAATAAAACGACTTAAGTCCTGAGTATGCACGTTTTATTCGAGCATACACGGTCAGCTAAGATTACCCGGGAACACTGACGCACACTAGAAATTTCCGCATGGAAGTCAAATTCAAATTGAATTGAAAACACTGTATTTGCTCGCCTTACTTTGCTGACGTATTACTGCATTGTATTGGCTGCAACCTTGGCCATTTGATACTACATGGTAGCACCTAGCTGAGTTCCTGAAACAGACTGAAACCACTTAAATCCCATTTAGAAAGTTTAAGGTGAACAAGCTCTGCAGGGTGTGGTTGCCCAGGAGCACGAAATAACCACTTCATCGGTCATAACTCTTTCATTTTCCATCGACTGAATTTTACTGGAACCTAATAATTCTTGTTTAAGATCAAATTCCAACTTAGGAAACCTTTTCGTGACTCGAAATTTGTCTGAATTCCGCCGCAAGTACTAACTCAAAGAGGGGTTTATAACAAAACCACACTTTTAGGTCGTTTTGTCAATAATCACAAACTACTCATTTCATTGTGGTATTTCATTTTTCACCAGCGACTGAAGGACGCCGAAGTAGCCTTTCTTCATCAATCATTTTTTATAGTTGGCGTACATTCAAAAACAAATGGAAACTTTGGAAACAGGACCTTTTTTCTTTACAACTTTAAAGCCTAGCCGACCTCGAATGAAAATCATCTATTTTAGTCGCGACTTGAAATCTGTCTGAATTCCGCAGCAAGTTTCTTACTCAAAGAAAAGTTTACAACGAAACCACACTCTTTGGGTCGTTTTGCCACTAAAGACAAACTACTCATTTCACCGTGGTATTTCATTTTTCACCATCGAAGTAGCCTTCCTTCATCAATCATTGTTACGTATTTTTTATAGTTGGCGTGCATTCAATGATGAATGGAAACTTATGTAAACTGATTCCGTTACATATCTTTCCTTTTGCTTCAACACAAAAGATAATTAGAGAGAAAAATGGAACACATTGGATAATTCGACTCTATTTTTATGCGATGGCAGCTATAAAGTAGAGCACCTAGCCTTATCCACATAGACCAGATTAGATCTGCGAGAAGTCACTGCCTTGCTTCTGCTAGACATCAGGATATTTAACTGGTTAAGAGCGAGATTTGAGGTACGTTTTTTGCGAATACTACAATCGTAGACAAGGCACTCAAAGAAGAACTTTTAGCTTCCTTGCTTCGAGGGACTATGAACCCAATTGAATATTCTAGTCTGTTAGAAGAACATTTTCAGTTGTTCGTTTTGCAAAATTCAACAATATTTAATTTCTCTGTCTGCCGATCGATAAAGTAGAATTGTAAAGAGTTACAAAAATACATTAGTCTATTTTTTTAAGATGTTAAGGTCAAGTCAAGATTGCGCCATTTATTTCAGACGCTTGCCACTTCATAAGCAAAGTAGCTGATTTTAAATGGTTTCATAAATCTGAAAAATGAGTCTTCCATTTTTTTTCTGTCTTGTAAAATTACGTTCGCTCAGCCAGTGCCATCTTGTGCGATTGAAAAGTGATGGTTGAATCTTACTTCTTTGAACAATATTTGAGAGAATATCTCGCACATGAGAGAAGTGATCAATTCGTACGTTGATCAATTTACGCTTTGGTATAAATGTTTAAAGTTAGAACTCCCTTTTACAGTCAGTCATCACACAGCATTTACCATTTATCTCTCTATTCATATTATATATTTTTCATTCATTCTTGCATCTCAATTTCTTTCCTCGCCTCAATTATTCACTGATTTATTTACTGTCTTTCTTTATAGAATTTTTATTCACCTATTCATTTATTTATTACCTATCTATTCGTTCATTTATGTGGTTTTGCTTTTATTCCTTGAAGGGAAATTGCCGAGCTTCGAGAAAAAAATGGCAAAAAAGCAACAAGCTTTTCTTTTTGTGATCTCCTTTATCATCTTGGCATCCAGGCCACACGCCTTAGAGCTGCCCTATGAGGTCCTAGACACTGTCATGGAGCTGACTGATGCCGATCCAGACTTCACAGACCTCAACCGAGTCAATATTTCTGATGACCTGGGCCCTACTCGTCCCATTTACCGACTCGATCTTGATCCAAACTTCATTGCCTATTACGAGGTTGACATGGGAAGTGACTATGTCGTTTTAGCTTCCGGAAGCCAAACTGGAGATTACCGAAAAGTGGAGAGTGGTCCGGATCCAAGACCCACTGATGTGCTTGTGCGACGAGCTGAAGATAACGGCGAGCAGTGTGAGAAGTTCTATCGGCTATCACCATTGGGATTGACAGCTTGTACAAATGACAATGGAACGTTCGTTGCAGCAACTTATAACTGGACAAATAATGTTCCACAGGTAGATGCTAAGACTTTAATGATGTTTAATATCAAAAATGTTTGTAGGAACCAGGACACAAATTCTATGGCATAAGTAATTTGCAAATTTATCACTTTAACCATTAATAATCCTTTCTGTCTATAAGAAGTATCTTTGCATTATGATTTAGTTATTTTCTTGTTTTTTTTTTTCCTCTAGTCTTTATTTTTCTTTTTCTCTTTTTGTTTTTGTTTTATTAAATTATTTACGTAGACGATAGCTTTGCTCGGTATTTGATTGCGCATAACACAATAACCAGTACATTATGAATATCTGGTTCCGCCGTTCTACCACAGCCAACAGAGACTCTACAGGAATATATATAAATACTAGGTCCATAAGTAAAATTCTTCCTGCGTAATGTTACGATCAACAATGTCGAAAGTTGCGTGTGCGTAATTAGAGTAGGAAAGAATATTTCCTTTAATACATCAATTTTTAAATCACTATTTGTCCTTGCAATCTGATTGGCTCTCAATGATCAGTGTGATTTATCGACGAATCGCACCATATCTTTTGCCCAGCCGATGAGAAAGCTTTACTATAACACAACAACCAATCAGATTTGAAGGCTTGTTTAAAGGAACCATTCAAATTGCAGTTAAATGTAAGACAACGTTTCCAATTTTTCGCAAACCAGCTCAGTACTGGATCAATAAACTGGCGAAAAGGCTGGAAGTGTTGGGTATTGAAAAGTATGTTTCGTAGGCCATGAACGAACTTCTCGAGGAGTTTTACTCAAAAGCTCGTTAAAAAGACAAAGAATATTAAGTGCGTGATACCTTCCGTGTACTGGTTATTGTTTTTTATCAATTCCTATCAGAGAAAGAATACAAACGCCTGATTATTCGTGACGGAGAGTTTAAAAGTATGAACCAAATTCCTAGAGGGAAAAGCTAGACTACTCCAGCAAGAAGGCAAAGGCAAGCAGCCGAACCTGTTGACCATGACACATAATAAAAAGAACTACTGAAAGAGGAAAACAGAGTAATAGTTTCACATGTATATTATTAACAAGTAATCACGCGATGTTTCTCAAGCAATTTGGGATAAATCGGCACTGGTAAATTTTTCGAAGACAACAAATAGCACTCACCCTATAGGTCTGTGTTACTTGGTTAACCTTTGAAATATGTCACTCGTGCCAATTTATCCCAAATTGCACTGGAAATCATGTGATCACCCATACAAATTGCACTGGAAATCATGTGATCACCCATACAAATTGCACTCCACCCAGTAAATAACGTTCCATCGAGTAGTCTGATCGTTTGGTTTGGAGTAGTCCTGAGATGGGCTGTTTCTGGTAGTAGTGACTGACGTGCCAATAACCTTAACGGAAGTAATCATCGCCGGAAGTCAAGCTGCTCATCGATCGATGGAGCAGGGAGGAGCTTTGTCACAAGTAACGGCTTTCAAGTTTCAAAATGGTGGGATAGAATGAATTAAATGCAAACCCTTGGTTCTTGGCTTTTCCACGTGAAATAAAATTTGTTATTTTTCTGTCTCAAACAGATAAGGAATTGGCGTGAGCTGGACCAAATGGTTAACAGAAGCCTCGATAGGCTAAAGAGCTTATGGCAAGAGCGAGCAGCAGAGGGGCGATCAATGTCAGACTGGGCCACGACCTCTGTTCATTACAAAGAAGGAAATGTGAAGGAAGATCAAGTTTTTGCCGAGGAAGGCCTATCGCCGAAATCGTTAGTTAGAATCGCACTTGGTGAACGCTTCCAATCTGTTCATTTGCACGCAACTAACATTGGCAAGTCAGACCTGCCGGCTGGTTCACAACCAAAATGGCAAGAAAGGCTTTGTAAAGTGCTTATCGACGCGTGTAAGCCGGACGGGAGCACGAACATCAATCCATCTGCAATAAAGGAAACACCAAATCATCTATTGTACCTAAATCTTGAGGTGCACGAGAATCGAACCTTTGTGGGAAATACTTTACAGTGGAAAGAAATTGGTTTTGTTGTTGAAATCAAAGAACGCAATGGTGAAGTGGTCAGGAAACACTTTTTTGTGGATTTACATTCCAAACGGCATAGGCGTAGTGCGTGGAAACCTAGTGGCTCAGGTTGGGTGAGTACCGTAGTCATTCCCCACGAGGATGAGTTGCCAGACTATGACCAACACGACTGTTGTGGCTGTGTGAGTGGATGCAGTCCCGTGGCCTGGGCTCAAATCTTTCGTTACTACGACAGCCTTGGATCAGACCGATATGTAAACTCGATATTCAGTGGAAACATATACAGAGATAAGACTACGGAATTACCTAAGGACATGACTTATCGCGTAGAACAGTTTGTAGAGAGCATTCGACGGACGCTCGGAACTTTCTGCGAGAATGGTGAAGGCGCTACATATGTGAACAGCCATCATCGCATCCAGTCCTGGTTCCAAGCTCGACAAGGGTCCAAAGCAAGAGCATCCAGCTACCTAGAGTCTCGTAAAAGGAGAGGCTTCGTTGGACGAGGTGACAGGTCTTGGATTCAATGGAAAGCTGCGCAGACTTGCATTAAGATCGGTTATCCTGTTGTGATGAGCTTTTACGTGGAATCCAAAAGTGGCCACGCAGCCGTCGCCACGAAATATAAAGAAGGGTACAAAAAAGTTCGTCGGTGTCGAACTAGGACGACTGGATGGTGGATGGGCAGACGAACAAGAAGAAACTGTCGGTGGGAGAAAGAGAGCAAATACGAGTTCTATCTGCGTTATGGCTGGGGAGGCAATAACAACAAATGGCAAGCAATAAATCCTTACGGTGCCCACGTTGCATATATTGCAAAGTAAAGGACAGTTCAAAACAAAGTTTCAAATAAAGGGTTTCGCCGATGTTAAGTTTTGTTGTAGGGCTTTTTAAGCTTAATCTAATTGTTTTTTCTTGTTTTGTTATACTTTTTTTGTTTGTTTTTTGTAACAGGAAATTTGGAATGAAACATATGGGCACGTTATAAATATTTACTTTATTATTTGCTTTTTGATTAGATAATAGGATAGACGGTCGAGCGTTTAGATCTTAAGGCCGAATACCTGTTGTTTTTCTCTTTAATTTTTTTAATCAATTTTTCTCGGGATAACTAGACCTTGCATTCTAGATATCGAAACAAATAAGCTAGGGAACATAAATAATTGTAATTTGGAAAAAAAAACTACAAATTCTTATATTGCAACCTTTTTGTAATCAAAATTGGCTCCTAACTCTTACATCGGATTTAACCATTCTTTCCTTCCGAAAAAGAATGCAGTACTTGAAGCATGCATCATGATATCGCTCAGGGTTGCACTTTAATTTTAAGTAATAATAGTCAAAGGAATAATGAGCACTCTCCATAAATAATAGATTTTTAACGATTTGATCAAGATGTAAAAAACAAAGAAAACAACTTCAACAAAAGTACTGCAACTCTATTTTTTGTTTATATTAGAGGCTCACTGTGTTTCCATGCGGAGGTATTAAAACTGAAGAGAACACGTAACGAGTTCATTATAGCTTCATAGATTGCTTGATAGCCTCAAGGCTCCTCGTACCTCTCCTTTCTTATAACAAAATAAAAAGAAATATGATAAATGGAGGCGGATTTCAAGAAAATTGGAGAACGGAACATCCTTAACTGTTACGGCCTTAGCGTGGTATGCCAATGGTATCGCGAGGTGTTAAAATTTAAAAGAACATGTAACGAGTTCATGATAGCTTCATAGACAGCTTGATAGCTTAGGGGCTCTTCGTGCCTCTTTTTATTAGTAAAATAAAATGAAATATGTAAAAGAAAGGCGGATTTCAAGAAGATTTGAGAACGGAACATCATTTGAATTAAGGAGAACAGAAAAGCTGCAGCGCAGATTTGAAAATTTAAACATTTCGTAAAAGACCGAACGAAGAAACACCACTCCTCGCACTCGTTCCGCCCCACTAACGTTCGTCTCTAGCATTTACTTTTATAGTCTAATGGGCTGAAGGTATTAACATTTTTATGACTGTGTTTGTTGGGAGTGGAACGAAAACAAAGTAACTTTCATCATTACTGAGCAATGAGTCACTCCCTTGGAAACTGCTAATAGGAGTTTGAGGAGCTGAAGCATTCAGTTAGATTTTCTGGCAGCTAATCTCACGTTTACCCTTCGCCAGTTTTATAGTTATAAAATGGCTTCCTGATAATTTTAATGACTATATCACTACACGTATTGAACGTGCATCATAAAATTTCTGCAATAAAGCGAAACAATTTCAATCCTGTCTAACTTAGTAAAACGCTGACTAGTTTTTTAACGAAGTCATTGTCGTTTCGCAAACAAGGACTAACTTTATCTTTGCTTCGTTTTCCTTCAATTCCTCCTTCCTGATTAAAACGCTTTCTTGGAACTGTTGCTATAAAAAACTGATGCGGAATTTTTATCTATCATAATAAGATCTTTTCCAAATTTTTTGTTATTTTTGCTCTAAGATAAAGAAAAGGAAACACTACTTTCAGCTTGGTTTACCACAATTTAATAACTGCCAGCTTATTTTGCCGCACTCTTTCATCTCCCAGCGATTTCAAGTCAACTGAAAGAAGCCGGATCTGATCGTAACAATGAAGTCTTTCTGTATTTTTCATATCAAGTTATTGTTTAATACTCGAGAATTCGGACATAAAAAGAAACTCACAAGCCAAATAGGGAAGCTAATCTTCCCATTTGTTTCAACACAAAAGGACGGAATCAGCAATAAGGATGAAGAACACATTTCTCTCTGTAAATTAACGCTCGTAACTTCATTGATCCGTTGTTGTTCGGATCGGCGATACGTCACCGAAATCCTCTGGTAGGAGTTGCTCAAGAGTTTTTCTGGTATCAGAATTTGTAGTAAGTTTACCAATATGTTTTTTACTTACTTGCTTTTTTTTTTTTAATGGTTGTTTTGTTTAATGTTACCTATTACATCGAAGTCCACTCATCTCTTTATTCGATTACTTACACTGTACTTATACTATTGCTTCAATCAAAAAGTCTTTTATAAGCAGCGCTTATAAAATAGCGTTCTACAATTGGGTATCTGTTTCCACTTTTGTCCACCCAATGAGATCAAGTGCAGGTTTTTGTTGTCATCATCTGCCGATCTCCAAAATTAATCATTGAGCTGAGTTGGAACAATACTTTGGTATGAGTTTTTCTTATATGTGTGCGTAACACTGTAGTCTTATTTGGTGCCTGTGATAGATACAGCGTTTATCTAAGAGAAATATGAGTTGATGAAACATTTGTCATCAAATCGAAAACTTCAGCTTTAACATGGATTTTTTTCCCTCGCAAATTGCTATTCAACATGAAAAATACGCACGACTGCGAGAATCTTTTGGGATAGTATTTAGAGTTGAAGTAAAGTAAGTATGTGTATCAATCAACAAAGAGCCACTAACGTTTTTTATTTTACATGTTCGTTCTGTAGTGAAGATACTGGTGATATGATTTATCTATGTCCCATGCGTTTCACAGAAAGCTTCATAGACAGCTTGATAGCCTCAATGCTCTTCGTACCTCTTTTTATTAATAAAATAAAATGAAATATATAAAAGGAAGGCGGATTTCAAGAAGATTAGAGAACGGAACATCCTCTGAATTAATGAGAATAGTTTGGAAAGTTGTCTACTTTACTACCAACGCCTCGAGTGCGGCTGATAGTAATTTTCGTCGGAAGCAGGAAATGAGGCTAGTTTTCTCTAGAGAAAAATGAATCTGCTTGAAACTGTTTTAGATATTTTTAATAAGGTATAATAAACATGGAAGTTTTAAGCTCGGAATTTATTGTTTTCTTTGCTTCTCCTAACCAATGGATAAGTCCTATTCGATCTCTCTAGAAAAGAGCGCATGCTAATTTTGGCCATAACAGCGCACGAAAATTAAACAGGAGAGTGTGAATAAAACAATGCTGGAGAATTTAAGCGTATCACCTTAAAGTACTGCAGCTAAAAATGTTTCAATCCATTAAACGCGGGTTCTTCGATGGATTGTTAATTAATCGTTTAATTGTAAATCGTATATAAAAAAAAGGCCTAGCTGTATCTGAACAAGTTTTATTTGTACATATAGGACTACCATGGAAACACAGCATTAGGTTTCAATGAGCAAGCCAATTTTCATCTTTCGGCCTTGGATCCAACCGCCATAAGACCTCAATAGTCAGTGGCAACATATACGGCGATAAGAGGATGGAATCGCCAAAGTTGATGTCCTACAGCGTAAGACGTTTTGTAGAAGGTATATTCGATCGACGCTTGGAACTATCTGCAGGAACGGTGAAGGCGCAAATTGGTATGAATGGCATCATCGAATCCAGTCCCGGTTCAAAGCTCGCCAGGAGTCCAGGGCAGTAGCACTTTGTTACCTCATTAAGTCTCGTAAAAAAGGAGGTGACGTTATTCGAACTAACACTAGGTATTGGATTAAATTCCGAGCTGCCCAAAGTTTCATGAAAGTTGGTTATCCGGTAGTAATGAGCTTTCACCTCGAACCGGGAGGCGGTCATTCTGCTGTCGGTAGGAAATACAAAGCATGATATAGAAATGTTCGTCGTTGTCGATTTTGCAGCTGGAGGAAAGTGTACAAGTACGAGTTCTATCTGCATTATGGCTGGGGAGGCAGTAACAACAAATGGCAAGCAATCAATCCTTATGCTGCACACATCGCATATATCAAAAAAGGTGTGACAGTTGAAAACAAAGAACAAAAACAAAAACAATTTTGTTTGTGTCGGGGTTATTTTCTTACAAATGAAATGTAATGCAGCTTTTCAGATAGAATTGAATTGAATTTTTTTTCCAAATTACCTTGTTTTAGTGTTTAATTTGATAGTTTAGATTAAACATCTAACCCAAATATTTGAATGAAGGGCTAATTTTTTATATAAAAACCTAGCTCGAGATGACATATTCGTTTATTATTGCTTTTTTTGAATTTCTGATGTTAGTTTTCATATAATGATTTAAGTTGTCAGGAGCCCATTAATGGGCTCCTAACGTTGTACAGAAATTGTAAAAATTCAGTCAGGAAAATATGAAACTTTGTAACTTTGTAATTTCTTTTTCCTTGTAGAGTAGCTTATATGTTTTAAACTTCGGGTACTCAAGGCATTATGAGGTTTTTGAACCTTTTAAAGAACAGGTAACGAGTTCGTGATAGCGTCAGAAATAGCTTCATGAGTTTTTCGCTCCTTTGTATCACTGATGATAGCCTAAAATACCTAAGTGACCAGAGGATTTAAGTAGACGAGAGACGAGGACAGTAATAATAATAATAGCAATTATAATAATAATTGTTATTATAATAATAATAGAAATACTTTTTCCAGGATAATCCTTCATTACAAAAGTACTGTTATCAACGGGGTCCTGCTGATTAAGTCTTAAAAACCAAGAAATAAGAAATTATTGAAATATATAAAAGATAGTACCAAAAATACAAAAGACACTTAGTTAAAAACTACTGAAACTACAGTAGAAATCACAATAATCGTCCAAGGTTTTCCTAGACAATACTCTAGAGTTAATTTTCCTCAAACTTTGAGGTAATGAATTAAAAATCGAGGCACCCAAAAAATAAAAACTAAGGCGCGCAAAATCCAGTGTGACCCCTGGTAGCTTTGTTGTTTTCCCATTGTTTCTAGTATCGAACGCGTTATGATGTAATCGTTAGAAGCAGTTCCTTAATGGGAGACATACGGTTCCATTAAGGCAGTCAAATACAAAGGAGGACGCTCTCTTCTGTGAAAAATTGTCAATTGTTAAAAATTAAAGATCACAGTTCTGTGGACTGCATTTAGGAGAAATTATTTCGAGGCTTCTGGTCTCAATAAAGCGGATCATGCGTTTGCGGGACTCTGACCATCCAAGACTATTATAACTGCAATGTGTAAGTATTGGCATAATCATCGATTGGTAAATTCGTAGGGCGCTGGAGGTATCATTACTAGAACGGATACGCCGGAAGAGGTTCACTCTTGCTGCTACCTTCTTGTGCATTTCATGAAAATGCGTGTCATAATTAAGTGTCGGGTCCAAATGAACACCGAGGTACCTATAACATGTAATGGTGTAGATGGGAGAACCATTGACCGAGAGCTTGAAGATAAGTTTATTATCACGAAACCAATAATAGAGATTATCTAAGTCCTGATAGAGATTGCTTTGCATCACATCGATATCACATCTTCACATCAAGTTATGAATACAGGAGAACAATTTAGAAAATTATTTAAATTTCGCCAAAGTCTTAAGCGATTGCCATTGAAAAATGGATAGCAGGAACTGATGTAGGAGATTGTTCTCTTTTCGAAGGCTATCTGTAACAGTTTTTATTAGTCTGATAAACTTACAATTTTTTTTAATTTCTTTTGATAAATATAGTGACCTAGCTTGCCCAAATATCAGTCCTTCCATAATCCGTTACTCAACCTGTGAAAGGCTTGTTTTCATATTTAATTGCGCAAAGGCGTTAAAATCTCCTGGTTTCTCTCTAAATGTCGATTAACCAACGTACCTGTTATAAAGTCATGCAAAGGCCGTCTCACCCAACTCAAAATTGTTCTTAAAATCTCAAAATTTTAGACAAACGCACAAGCAAAATAAAAATAAAAGAAAAAACAAGAAAACCAAACAAGTCACGGACAAAAATTGAAAAAGGCTACAAAAGAGCATTGCTGTGTATCAGGTAGGTACCCTACTGCATAGCTTCCTACCCAGAAGTTGTCAGGCTCGTCACGTCACGCAGTCGTTCCAGCCTGTGCGCCATTAGGTGATACAGCTCGGAAAATTGTGTTTATTGCTTAAATTCATCCCATATGTGTGGCAAGGACAAATATGTGACATACAAGCAATAAACTACAGTGTAATTGATGTACCTACCACATTTAGACGTCTCCTATGACTTACAGCTGACTAGAAATGCAGAATATTTTATCTCTTTTCTACAATGAACAGCAATATGAGCAACGTAACTCAGAAAATTCCACCCTCAATAACTTACTTACGTTCAACTGCCCGATAAGGTTTGGGTTTAAGAGCTTTGAGGACAACGAGAACGCCTTTATCTCTGTGTCCTCTTTTCAATTCTTGTAAACAGCTCCTGATAATACGTGTGGAAGGGAAATTTTCACATTCTCAAATAAGATTGCGTGTGTGCTATTTTAAAAGGAAAAAGTCATGAATCAGCTTTTTGCCCGCCAGGAATGTGTTAAAATTCCATATAAAATGTTGTTGTTTCTCGTGGTTTGTAGATAAATGAAAGTATCGTTCGTCTCGATCACGATGTACAGTCAAGTTATCAAATGTATTGAGCGCGACGTGTCTACTTTGCTTTGATTTTTTTTCGTTTTTAAATATTTATCGAAAGGATTAAGATAGGTAAATGAACGAATCTTTTGTCTCAATCAATCAATCAATAAATTAAAATAGCCTGACTACACATCGTGATTGAGACAAAAGATTCGTTCATTTACCTATCTTAATCCTTTCGATAAATATTTAAAAACGAAAAAAAATCAAAGCAAAGTTTAATAAAAAGTTGCAGTTTTAAACGCCTTCATGATTTTTTTGCCGCCTAGACTGAGGTCCGCCCATCCCGCCTAATTGGTCGTCATCCGGGATTTTGACGCTGGAGTCGGAAATAAACCTCGCTCAAATGTAAAGTCATCTAAAATATGCGCGATGGATGTTACTGCGGAAATCAAAACAGTGATACCCAGAAATCGATTGAAAGAGTAGATTTCCAGCCTCTATGAGGCCTTTAGCTACTTGTTAAAAATAGGATACAACTATAGTTGGATAATTGTCGCCTGCTTCAGAATATAACGGCAATGAGCGTTCGTAACCGTGTTCGAAAGTCATTTTCAAAATCGCTTAAGGGGAAAGCCTGCAAATTTCGATTCACAGTCACTTATGAATACGTCGACTTAAAATGCAACAACAGATGGTAAGTGCGATCTTAAGTACAATTCTGTAATAGTAAAGTAGCCTGTGTTTACCCTCAATCAGGCCAATATCAAAGGCAAGCTTAGTTGTCAAAACGTTCGATCCTTTGGAATGTCTCCAAAGGTTTTGAGTCCGCGCCGACACCAGTTATCTGTTGACAGTTCGATTTTATGGACGGTTTCGACAAAGAAAATAGTGTCAAAATTTAATAGGAGACCACTCAGTCCTGTTTACTATATTTGAATTATTGTTTCCGTATTTAAAATTTCAATTGATTTGGATTTCATTTTAAGCTTCTGCGATACATGTTGATGCAGGAAACTTGGTGAAAGAGTTAATTATTAAATAATATTTTGATTGTAGCACTTTTCGTTGCGCGTGTTAACGGTGTTGGCGCGAATTAAAGATAGCGAAAAGCGCAAATTTCTTCCATAGGTGTCGATAATTGTTGTGAAGCGGGTTTCGGATTTATTTAATATTCTAATGAACAGTCATTTGATATTTAAACAGTTCTTGTTATTAAATTGATTCTGGTGTTTGTAGCGAATTAGTATTCATGTTAGTCTGATTAGCCTGCCTCCTGCTCGGTTATTCCAATTTCTCAATTATTCTAACATTAATACTATAGCCGTATCAGACTTATTTACAATGCAAGTATTCTTTGCTGTCGAACTATCACGTTGTAACACATGTTATAGTTTAACGCGAGTTTTGAATCAACGGAAAGAACAAGCTACAAATGGTTAAACAAGGTTTAGTCAGTGACAGGGTCATCGCAATCCTGGCTTCCATAAAATATCTGTAATTTTTAAATTTGAAAATTTCCTCAAAATGATTTCAAACTATCCAGACAGGCTTGTTGTTCCTCCTAAATTAGATACAATCTACATTGGGAGAGTATGAATCAAGGCAACTGGTGCACATATGATCAAAATACCCTCATATTTTATTAATTTACCCATATGTTTAATTTCCTTAACCCTTTAACTCCCATGGGTGACCAAGACAGAATTTCTCCTTACTATATCTATACAGTATCATGCAGACAAGTGATGAGAATAAAGAAAAATATCAATTATGGAATTACTAATTGATCCGATACAAAATTCTCCAAACTAACATTATGGGAATCATTTGGCAGACGCTAAGGAGAATTACTAATGAGATCTTGGGAGTGAAAGGGTTAAATCTAATTTGCCTTCAAAATATTAACAGGCAGCCTTCTTGCTTGAGCATTGTTTGGTTCAGAAGTCACCGTTCCAAAGTATCAGAGAAGGTATGTTGCATGCACCAATGGTAAAGTTCACTGGACTCTGACAACTCTAAGCAGAAAAGAAGTCTTATATTTGAGCTTACTGTTTACAAGCAATTTTTTAGTAACGCAATTGATTTTATATTGGCAGTATTGAGAATGTCCAACAAATTCTTAGCTCCTGTATCAAATTATATTCTACAAGGAGTTACATTTTACTTCTCTTTACACAATTAATGATTATTTAGCAAGGGCTCAGTATGAGAAAAGATTTTACTATCAGCCAGATGGTGTAAGACATTAAAATGACAAGCATCAACTCTTTGCAAAATTAGTTTATAAGAAATCGTAAAGTCATGAGATAGGAGCACAAAAGCTCAGATCATAAATGTGGAAAAGGTAGCCATAAAACATTGGATAGATAAGTTTGGTGATTAGTCTGATAATTGGGGAGGGAGGGAGAAATAATTCCATTTTTAACTGCTGTAAATTTTACACAGTGAAATGTTGATATTCAGAATCAAAAGAAGCAAAAGAAGTGTTTTGCGTGATACAATGTGTCAACCAATTTTGTCATCCATGAAATTTGTTTAGTAGAATTAAGGATCATCAAAATATACATTACTTTTTTTGTGTATTTGTTAACAGCCCACTTCAAAAGTGTCAATTACTGATGAAAAGACAGGAATTGTTAGTTATGCTGCCAACTGGTTTCCACCCAACTCTGTGGACTTGGTTGTCACGCTTTACAAGGTATTTTGAAGTTTGAGGAACAATGCCCTAAGTGATCTCTAATAGACTGCTAGTTTTCATTCCTAGCAGACTTGTATTCTTTTGTGAAACACATGGAGAATTTGATTTTGTGTCAGAAGTCAGCTGGGGCTTTATTCCAACCAAGCCATGAGGTTGCAGGTTTGCTGCAACAATTGGTACACAGCCTTGTTTTTTTTTTTTTTTTTTGTGATTAGATGGCAACTAAATTGGTTACATTTTGATATCAGCATGTATAAGATGTATAATGAGCTCAGCCTAAATTTGACTGTCATAAATTTTCAGGATTTTACTGGAGTCATGTTTAGGAAGAAAGACTACATGTTTGTCCTTGAAAATGTAAGTCTTCTTGTGACCTATTTGTAGCCAGCATATTTTTTTATACAGAGTATTACAGCAGGTCTGCAGGAAAGAGGGAGGTAAGGGGTGGGGACAATGAGCTGCCACTTGAAACAACACAGAAGTCCATGCGCCAAGCACATGCAAGAACGCCTCAAACGAAGAGTACATGGAATCATCCAATGCATGTGCATATACAAAAATGGCTGACTACTACAGAACACTGATCCTCTTCATTGCTAACTCTGTTAAATTACATTTAATGCATATAAACAAGACAAGGAATTATCACAAGGAACATTTTGCTCAATAGTCATGTGTAGTATAATTTATTTTTAGGTTACTGCAGATGCAAGGAAGAAACTTGCTATTTTCCCTTGTAACATGGCAGAGTATGCCTCTCTTGACATGGAAGTGTAAGTGTATGATGCTTTGGTCCCTAATTATTTGAAAAACAGTAATTAAAATTGGAAATAGTTAGAGAGTAGAGAAGTATGGCCATTATAATTGTCACATCAAGTTTTCAATCAGTTATCATTGTGTAAATAACTATCAAGTGCCGGGGGTTACTTTTTTCATGAGCTGTTGCCTATGGTGAAATAGGTAGCTGTGCTGTAAGGCAAAACCCAAACTTGAGATCCTGCTTACAGGCTAAAGAGATGTCAGTGGTCTTTCAGGGGGCAACAGACCATTGCTAATGGGCTTTAAGTGAACCCCTAAAGTATGCTTCTTTGTGATGTCGACCCATTCTTCTGCGAGGATCTCCCACACTCCTCAGATCTCTTTGGAATTTTAATAACGGTTAGCATTTCTATATATGAGTTTAGATTTGATTTGGAGATGGAATTCAAACCCCTTTCCAAGAAGATTGTATCTGCAAGGATTGGAGCAAAAGTTAGATGTGAATTTATTAAGGAGGGAAGAGCAGAGTAAGTTCTTTGTATATTTACCATTTACACCTTAACATCACAATGCATATTCTCTATACTGTTGTCTTTAAATTTTTTCTGGTAATTGACTAGGATAAAATAATTGTTTTGATCATGAACTTCTTTCGTCAGTGGTCATTTCTACTATTAAAGGAACTTTATGTTTCATTAAATTAAGCAGACAGTGATACTTTAAGGGGAAAGTCACTCTCAGAGGGTGAAAGGGTTGATAAATTTTGATTTATTTAGAGAGAAACTGTTAGGGGCCCCTGGACAGGGAAAAACATGGTTTTGCTGAAATGTAATAATTCCTCGACAGAAACTCTTTCCTTAGACATCCACTGTACCCTATGAATTTCCTCTTATTCCTTTCAAATTTTAGGCTTTTTTTTTTCTGGTATTACCGATGGAATTGTTAAAACCCAAGACCATGAAAATGAGCCTCACTCATTTTCCATTCATTTACTTTTTGTTTTTGCATTTTTTTAAATTAAATACCATTTGCTTGAAAAATCTTGTTATTGATTATGTCTTTTTAAATAAAAAAATTATTCTAATAATTTTTTTTCCTTTCCGTCATTTCAAAGTGAGGATGATATGCAAAGCAACTTTAGTCATCTTAGTGAGGCAGAATTCAAGTCAAGGTTGTCTGAACTGGCAGAATGTAGTGATGAGGAGGAGGAAGAAGAAGAAGAAGAAAACAGTAAACCAAGGGAATTAAATAAATTGGCTGACCGTTCTAAACAGTAAGTCATAAGTAAAGGACAACTGCAATTGACAATGATATTTGTTGAAACAGCCATGACTTTAGGTGTTATCAATGGCTTCCTTCCTAGCCTGGCTCCAGTTGTTCCAGGGCAAATAATGCTATTCAATGGACAAATCGCTAGAGGACAAGTGTTAACAAAGTGTACTGCACTGTCCACTGAATAGAAATTAATTCAGTGGATAGCTTTATCCACCCTTTGAAAAATCAGGATGTGATGTCTTCATTGCGCATACACTTAACTAAGATGAGTGATGACATTGCTTAACTTAGGGGTATTATACGTTAGAACAAAATTTATGATGTACCACAATTATGTGTGGCTTGGTAGAACTTAATTGCTTCAAAAATTTATCCAAAGAATTTTTTCTAGTTTATGGCTGTAAAAATGTAATGCTTGTGTGACCCACATCCCCCCCTAATTCAACAGATTTCTTTTCATTTCCTGTCTTCTTACATCTGCTACAAAACATACCTATTTCCAAACCTCGTGTTTTGCAATGTGAGGACAAAACATTTGTAACCTATGCACAACTTAACTAAGATTGGTCAAAACCACACCTTTACAGGCTGCAGTTGCTTAACAAAAACTTTCAAAAGAGAGTGACCCTCCCTGGCAGGGCGTGAAATTGCGCCTAATACAGGCGCCAATGCGACTAAATTTTTCACTTTGGCGACCAAATCCCGAAAATTAGTCGCCAAATTGGCGACTAGAATGTTTTATCATAACCTTTCCAAGTGATAAAGTGAATTAAAAAGATTTGCAAAGATAAATCCGCGGCAAACTTTTTTTTTGAATTGGCTAATACTTTGAAGAATTTAGGAGCCAAGTGGCTATCAGAAAAAAGAAAAATTAATTTCACGCCATGCCTGGGTACGTTAAACTATTCCAGTGAGTCTTATGTGTCTACAGGATCCAGAAAACAGTGAAAATACGCAACAAATCTAACCCTTATTTCTTTTGGGTGCTCAAGGACAATACTTGCTACGAGCCAATAAGAGTCCGATTAAAACAAATGGATTATTTCATAGGGATCCATTTCCATATTATACTCATTATTTTTTTCTGGCCACAGCACATGGTCTCAATTTATTGATGAAATGAAAACACTAGAGTACAGAAATGTGGCCATGCTGGGAAATCCCCTTGCAGATGTTACGGTCAGCGGTAACAACCAAGGTAATAAAACTTAGTCTAATTTGGGATTTCTTTGGTTTTGAAAATCACTCTGTGATTGGTCTAGAAAATGTACGCCACCTTCTCAACCAATCAAATGCCAAACCAAGTTTAGTCTGTGGTGACTTAATTTCCAACGTTTCTCGGTTGTCCTTCCCACTTAAACCCTTCACAAAAATGACAAACCTCAATTTGATACTGTCACCCTCTGAAAAAAATAAATTTGAAGGGTCGTTTTATTTCCTCGCGCACCTTTGATTTCAAAAGAAAGTTCGAACCCTTCAAATTGTGACAGGTTCTTTGAAGAAAAAAAAGTTAGGTCAATTTTTTGAAGTGATTAATAATTAAATTCTCTGATACATAATTAAAAGAACCATATGCTTGTCAGTCACGAGATTTTTCATGTTCATGTTACTTCAAGGTTGACGATGTTAAATTTGCTTTTTTTTGTAGCCTATGCAGATGATACGAGTAAGGAAATTACACACGTATCCCAAGAAACAGCGTCAGAAGAAGCAGACACCAAACGCAGCAAACTTTTGGAAAGAGACAGAGACAGAAGAAAAGTTGTCAGTGCCGCCTTTGAAGATTTAAAAGAATCAACGATACCAGAAGAGGATGGGGAGGAAGACCTGGAGGACATGTCCATCAACTTGTCGAGTTCAGCGATGTCGTCACTGAGTTCTTTCAAAAACAAGTTTCAGTTTTCATTCTCTGGAAAGAACAAGGTAAATTGTTGACAAAATTGTACGATTATTGAGCTTCAAAGAACGGTAAGAAGACCTTCTTGCTTAAAGCAAGTTTCTAAGGAAACTGTGGTGCTGCGTCTGTGGGGGATATTACAACAAATCTGGTTCTATCAACTGAGTTGATATACTCCTTGAATACTTGATATGGAATGGTTTATTCCAATCTCACCTCTTTTTTGCAATACTTATGTAATCTGTGATTTTTCTCCTCAGCGCAGGTCATCAGACTCTTCGTCCGCAGAGCTACCAGGAAATATTGAGGTATGCCAATCTCAACTGCTATTTGATAAGTGATACTACAAGTCCTTTTATGGTCTAAGACTGGGATAATTTCAACGCATTTAAGCCTCTTCCCTTTTTGATGAACTCCTAAACCCTCAAGTCAACTTTTCTGCCGGCAGAGCGCTGTTGGACGGGTATCGTGGAAACAAAACCATAGAGTAGCCAAAACGCTTTCGCAAGGGATTGGTGTTAGTTTTGCGTCTGATTGGTCGAGAGGGTGACATGAGTTTTCTAGACCAATCCGTTACCTTTCTTGACATTGGTATGCATGATATGTTATTCGTCCTTATGCGAGCAAGTTAGCCTTCTTTACCTCGCTTTTAGGTAAAACATGTCGTAGTCTGAACGGCTCACTTATCTCAATGTAGAAAGGGTCTGCCATTTATGACAGACAGGTCTACTGAGCATACTAAAACAACACCGGCCTAATCCTTTGTTACTTCCCACGCTCATGACGGCCAATGCAAAAGAGTAGAAATCTGGAACTGCAAGGAGTTTTACTCGCACAACAGTACAAGTTACTGCATTCCTCGAAGATATGATAGGAAGAGGTGATGCATTACTATTTACTTGCTCATCTGTTCATTTTTTGTTTCGTAAGACCGTGCCTTCTGAAACTCGTGAAAAGAGAGTCTCTGATTGGCTGCAGGAAAATCCTCATGAAGATGGCGATAGTCAACTGAGAGTCGAGTACGTCCTTTTCATTCAACTTATTTTTTTGACTTTTTTGTTGAGTCTTTTTGGTTGTTGACTTTAGAAGTTTTTATTGTTTGTCGTATTATTGTTTTTTTTCCCTTCAATGGATTTAAGAATTTGGGAGATCGATAAGTTTGTGATACGAAAGGTGGGTTGCGTTTGGTGTCCGAGTTACCTCGGCTTCGAGATAGTGGGTAGTTCGAGATACCAGGGACAAGAAATCTTTCAATTTAAATTTACAGTATTATTTGTAAATAATATTATAACTAGGAATCGTTTTCTTTGAGAGCCCCTACGCCTAGTTAGTCAATTCTTCAAATACCAAAATTTATGGTAGGTATTTTCTTTCCCTTGTGTAGGCAACTTGAGAAAGATAACATGAACTTGAGAGCCGCTTATCAAAAGCTTGTAACCAAAGTAACCGACTTGGAAAAAGAGAAGACGGACATGCAATCTGAATTGGAACAGCTGGGGATAATGGCGGAATTCGGAAAGTCAGACTTTGCCAGGGAAAGGGATGAATTACAGGCAGAAATTACCGAGCTGCAAATGTTAGTTGAAGACTTGAGGATGCAGGTACATATGGAATAACTTTATCCCTCCACTTGGAACAGTAAAAAGTTAAAGCTTCCTCTAGAATCTGAAACGTTCAGAACAATCAGGCATCAAGTTACTTTTTTAATATGTTTCAAAAGAGATCTGAAGCCCACAGTTATGATAGAAGGATTGCCAACAGCATAAACCTTCCAAAGTGTTTAGAGTGCCATTAATGTGGAACTCCATACCACCCGAATGATGGAGTCGTTCAAACGTGGCAATTTTTAAACGCAGCTTAAGGGATCACCTAAGAAGTTTAGTTTTTTCAGTAGAAATTAACCCGATCCTATAGTTTTCTGTAGTAGTTGACTTCTCATTTATGTATTATAGATTAAATTACTTTTCTTTATCAGTCTCTTTTTTTAATCAATGTTGTAGTTAGGCCGGAACATGTCGATTGGGGAGTCTAAATAAGATGATGTATTGACCCTTAAGCTCCCATGAGTGACCAAGACAGAATTTCTCCTTACAATATCTATACAATATCAGCCATATAAGTGATGAGAATGAAGAATGAGATCAATATGGGGATAATTAGTTGATCCAATTCTAAATTATTTGAACTAACATTATAAGAATTGTATGGTTGATAGTAGGGAGAATTGCACATTTGATCTGGGAGTTAAAGGGTTAAAGAAAGGGTTTATAATTTCTTGTAAATATTCACACATTTTTGTTGTTGTTAAGCTTGGAGAGGCAGAATCCAAATTGACAGACACGTCGGAAAAGGAAGTTACAACAGCAAGTTATGAAGTGAGATTCTTTGATAGTAGCCAACTCTTTCGTACCTTGCTCGGGGGGTTAAGTTGGTAAAACGAAGCGCAATTGAATAATAAACAGCACAATAGTCGCGGAAGAGCGAAAAAACAATGTTTTTTTTACTGTTACCAAAACAATGTCACTCCGCCGATACTATTGCGCCGCGTACTTTGTCGCTCCGATTTTACTAACTGAACGCCTGGAACAGGCTAGGTGTTTCTATATTCTCCACTCTCCCTCCTTACTCATGCATCTATCTTACATGAAATGTGTGCTTTGTGTATGAAACTTTTAACGGGCTGCCAATGTTCTTACTGACGCAGGGAGGTAAAAAGAATGCACCGAAAACAAAGGTAAGATCTGTTCAGCATCCTCGCTAATGCTTACATGAAGCTCCATTTCTTTTTTCCTGCTTGTGACACATTTCCTCTTAAAATGAAACGCACCATCCTCTCATTTAAAAGGCCATAGGTCATTTATTCTATTTTTGTCATGAAGGGACCCTTTAGGCTTTCAAGACGCAATCAAAACTATTGCTATGTTTATTCGCTATGTTATTGTTTTGCACTTTGTTGTAAATTTTTTGCTTTATCAGTTGTGTGAAGTCCGTGGCTGGTTATGCAAGAGAGGCGTGAAAGGCCTCACGGGACGGAAATGGAGACGCCGCTGGTTTTCAACCGATAAGGATAGCAGGCTCTACTATTATCAAAAAAATAACAACACATCACCAAGAGGGTAGGTACCTTTGGTATAAGGAAGACGATTCTTCAAATCTGTATTTACAGGCACAACCAAATCCTATAGTTAATTGTCACGAGTAATCCCTATTCCTCTTTCCAATCCTCTGTCCGCTGCGTAGCTGGCGGTTATATGTGAGCCTGACAGTTTTCGTGCGCTTGGTGACGTGTCCCAAGCCTATAGCGACTTCGCCGTGTATGTAAAACCACCAGCTACGCCAGCCATATTCTATCGCTATTCGACTGAAAACGGCTAGTTCTATTGGAAGTACTTAGTGTACTCTAACTATGACCCCTTACCAGGTTCTCTAAACTTAAGTAATCGTCAACGAAAGCAGTCCTTTTTGGGGCTACCCACTCTTGGACGATCATCTTACCTACCCCAAAGTTGGCACTATTTACTACAGAAGCTATAGCTTGTTCCAAACGTTCAGTCAGTGAAACGAAGTGCGATAGTATTGGTTGAGCGAAAAAAACCAGGGAGCTTCGCTCTGCTACTATTATTAACTCCATTTTTCTAACTGAATGCCTGGAACCGCAGACTGCTGAAGTTTTGATTCGACAATCAGTCTGGTCTTTAGGATTCCTCTGATAATTTAACAAATCGACATAGGTTTAGCATGGTCTGTACTCCTATAGACAAAGATATTCGTCATCGCGGTGATAAAAATGTTGTGGACTTGTGATGACAAATGTCGTTGTCGACAAAAGTACAGACCACGCTAAACCACTTTCGATTTGTTTTTTGCCAAATTATCGACGTTAAATTTCCGAATCATTCAGGTTTGAGAGCTGATCAAAAGTATTTCGTGACACGTTGCTGCGAGCAGCGATATCTGTTCTCTTATCGACGACGGAAAATCGGCCAATCAAATTGCGACGTATTGCCAATTGTGGCACAAATGTAAAGTTGTTTCGTTTTTTGTGTAGCTTTATAGATCTTGATGTAATTATTGCCGTCCAAGACCAGCCTCCCTCACAGCAGGACATCAACAATGCTTGCTTCAATGTGGTGACTCCCACAAGAACATACGAGCTTATGGCACACGATGAACAGGAAAAGCTCAGGTACGGAACGCCTTATTCTGAATTTTATTCTATTTTGTATCTTTTTGTTCTAATTATTTATTTGTTTACCTATTTATTTGATATTCTAAGAAAGATGTTGTCAGGGAATGACACAGGTATACTCGGACAAATAAGAAGTACGATGCCCCCAATACGAGTCGAACCTTTCGATTGGCATTGTGGTGTTTTGGGCCACGGTTTTCAGGAAATTTTTTTCGCTTGATTCCGAACAGTCCATCTGTGTGATGCTTGTCAAATACACGATCAACTAAGCGTTGGCTTACACGCCCAAATTCATTTGTTGGGATACTTAGTGCTTTTGCTGCTGCTCTCAATTTTGGTCTCCGAAATGCCGCGTACAAAATGACAATTAACAATGAACAGAGAACAGTGCAAGTGGTGTTTCAATGAGGTGTACCAACAAATCAGTATAGGTAATAACATGATTTCGAGTGCAATTTGGTGTTCATAAGCACAACTAGATTTTTTAAAGACAACAAAATTGCAAGAAAGCGAGCGCGCGCTTTGTAATTTTTACTCCTGTTACAACTTTGCAAACGTGTTACAACTTTGCTCTCGTGTTACATGAGAATACATTCGTTTTCAGCAGATCAATCAGAATTTGTACCTGTACATTATGTTTGAGGGTGTAGCTCGTTCACCATTTTCCTCAGATAATCAACTTTAGGTTTCATGTTACTCGGTTGATTGGTCATCCGAGCGCGAAATCGGAGGTGCGAATGCTCGAATATTCGACGCTTCTCTTTCTTCAATGGATGAAACACGGGAGGCTCTTGGTACTGCGGATCGTAGCTGCATACAGGGCGATTGTCACAAGTAAATCTGGTAAACCTGTGGCTTAGCTTGCTTACTAACTCCGCGCTACTAAATCATCAGGTCATGCGATTGCGGAATCGCAACTGAGTGGATGTCAAATCTTTGTTGGGGACTTAACGTTGTACTAAACTTTTGACAGACGTTAAAACTTCTGCCTTGAGTCTGTTAATTTTTTTGTGCTAGAATTGGTTTGCCGCGACTCGACCATGGCATTTGAAGGTGTCACTTGTGCGTCGCCATGTATTAGAAATTACGAGGATATTTCGAAAGCGAAAGACCATTTTCTTCCTTAATTTTATTCCTGTTATTGTTCCCTTTCCCTAGGTGGATCAATGCTTTGGATTATCTCCGCCACTGGAGAAACCGTTTGGCGTCCTCCAACGAAAACAAATAATAGCACCCTTGCTGGTCCTCCTCTGGCTTTGGCCGGTTTCCAAAAGAATATAGGTTGCAGTTATGAACAATTTACAGCTATTTTCTTAGTCATAATGAAAGAAAAATATGGAAATTTTAAAGCATAACATATTTCTTTAAGAGTTATTTCTTGAATTTTTGGGCTATTATCTGAAGTTTTCGAAGACAGCTGCCTCTCATAGTTCTACAGCCTGAATAGCATAGATATGAACAGAAACATTAAGCTAAAAGAGTCCGAGAATAAACAGGGGCTATATTTGAAGGCATTGGCGGAACCACAGAGGACGCGCGTGTAGAAAGTCGTTCCGGAAGTGGTAATATTCTCTTGTTTACAGTGGTGCTACCCAGTAGTGATATCATTTTCACTCTTATTGCTTTGAAATAAGTAAGAAGTTACAAAATGAGGCTTCGTTATTATATAGATATTGATGAAATACCAGAATTTGGAGCAACTACAGAATACAGGGCCACTGAGGTCCACTCCATGGGCATGCTCTGAAGAACTAGGCAGAACACAAAAGGATGTGTGGTGATTTAATGAGATAGAAATAAGTGACCCTGTCCTCTGTAGTTTTATCCAGAATTGCTCCTTTTTCAAAAAACATGCATTCACCGCGCGCAATGATCGCACTATATTACTATCTTAACAGGTGAAGATATTTTTGACTTTGATTAAATTACGAACATTGCTGAGGTTGAACTTCAACTTTTTAAGAGGAAAACAGTTTTTTGTGATGAACACTAGTTTTTTTTTTCTATTTTTTTATCTCTTTTTTTATGTAAGAAGTTGAATTAGCTTTTCTACAAGCTCAGTTTATACCAGACATGCTCTTAGAAGATGGTCAAAATTTGTCTTTCATTTTAGAAGATGGTCAAAATTTGTCTTTCATTTTAGAAGATGGTCAAAATTTGTCTTTCATTTAAATATGACCCAGCCTGCTTCGCAGAGATTCACATTGGCAATATTAGAAAGATATCGCAAATGTTTTCTGTCACTTTTTCGAATTGTTAACTTTGAAGGACAGACTCTATACCTGGCGTGGTACACGAAAGTTATTCAAGAGAGGATTGTCTCTTGTTTAAGGAAACATTTCTGTTCTTTTGTTTACTTTTTAGAAGGATTACTCCAGTTCAAAAGGAGAAATAGGGTCTTCGAATTTATAGAACATATGTTTTCGCTCAAGAAAGATATCATTTATTTGCACAAAGTAATGTTACAATAATAAGAAGGATATCTCATCATATAGTCTTAATATATCTTTCGGAAATATTGTTTGAGACTGTCGTATGTCAGTTATTTAGTGCATCCAAAATATCCTGTTAAAGAGAGAGAGAGAAAAAGGAAACTTGAAAGAGAAGAAAAAGGAAACTTGAAAAAATCGTTGCTTCGACATGCCGCCCTTTGACTATTTGATGGACAGACTTGCGTTTTTTTCATTTCCCACTCGTAGACTAATTACATAAAATTTTTTTTTCAGAATAATGAACTATCCAACCTTATTTACGGACATTTTAAAGCGTAAACTAGGAAATCCACACCTATTGCCATGGGGATTCTGTAACAAGCTATCTGTGTATTTTTGAACTTCGCTTAAGTTCGCTCACATCACGTCCAACAAATTTGAAAAAAGCATTTTAACACTTAAAACACTACTGAAGTTTTCCATCCACGCGGGAGGAGGGATGAAGTATTTTCCCAATCCTCGGTGTTGAAACGCTTAAATGCACCCTTAAGCGTGCGCATTAGAGTCGAGTTCGCGCACAAAAATCTCGGAGAAGAATTGTCATCATCTTCGAGAGAGTTTCCCGTCCTTATCAAACTGCAAAGGTGATAATTTTTACTTGTTCATTCCGCGTAGCTTAGCATCAAATGCTAAAGACATCTCAAGCGGCTTAGAGTCATTACACCTTTTGCTAGACATTAACGCAAAGTATTCATTCATTTGTGTCGAGCGTTGGTTCAATAAAATCATTGTACATTCATTAACGCCATACTAAACTTCATTAAGGCGGAGTAAACTTTAAATAGTGCGATTAATATATGCATGAACATTCAATAGCATCAAGGTGCAATCTATAGCACCTTTGGACATTCGTACACACGGAATGTAACGTTAATAGCACGAACTGACAAACCATAGCATTTATGGACAAATAATAGCACGGTGCGAAACAACATTAACAACCAACAAAGAGCGATGACAACTTGGAGAAAGCCTGCGTGTTCGCACACTGTTAAGAAATAAAAATGTATTGACTTATTTATCCTTCAATTTACTCTCTGTTTAGACAACAGGGCAGGTATGTCTGTATAAAACGGAACCACTGCCCGCATTTAGTTGGGATTATTGAGCCGACATTTCGCTGTAACTCTTGTAGCGACAGCTGAGTCGATTTGCCTCAGGGCTATCCTTGTCGCCTGGCTTCTTCACGATTGTTCATTTGTTGTTGCACTTCTGGGCGGCTAATATCTGCCTTAATGGCTGCCTTGAGCGCATTGATACCTTGTTCTACAACGTTGAGGAAAAGACTATTTAGTGGCAGTTTCTTGAGTTCTGTTTTTTGCCCGGGATCAGCGGGGTTATGGTGGGCAGGTGTGTTGAGAGCCTAAACGTAATAACTGTCCTAAATGTAATTAAGTCCTAAATGTAATAACATTTAGTTCTAAATGAAATAAGCCTCTAATGCAATCGTTTAACTCCGTTAGTGAATGTACAGTGATTTTATTGAACTAACACTCGGCACAAATGAATGAATACCTTGCGTTGATGCTTAGCAAAAGGTGTACTTTACTAGAATAAGGGGCAGATGTCATTAATGAATCGATTGCTATGAAATCATACGAACTTTGAATCCATTCAAAACCTGAGAATGAAGAACTGTCTTGAGACAGAACAGGAAAGCGTCTTGAAAAAATTATCCGAATTACTTCCTGCTAAAGGTTATTGGTTTTCATTGTCACTTTGCAATGCCTACAAACACAGGTTATCCTTGTGAAAGAAGCTTTAAAGACTGAAGCCCTCAAATAATGAAAATTAGTCACTCAATTTAATTGACGTATGTTTCTTGTATCGTAGAGCTTTAACCAAGGTAAGGCCAAAGATCGAGGCATGCTCAATCATGTTCGTTTATACGATCGCCCTTAGCAATCAAAATATTCAGAACCATAGGAAACTAATTTAAAAATTTGAGAAAACATAAACAAGGTTACTGCTTCATGTCTGAACACATCGCCAAGCCTCCTCATTTACATCACTTTCCCCTCTATTTATGGAAATGACACTATATAGGGTCGCAAAATAAGTAAAACATATATAGCGGAGGAAGTAGCTGTACAATGGCGTCTAAAAGTTCTCTTGAAGATTTTGAAAAGCGACTTGACGAAGTTCTTAAAAAGTGTGACCTACAGTCGAAATTTTTTACAGGGTGCGACGCTAGAAACCCTTCATCAGTAGCTCATTTGATGGGACCCGATGTAAGACTTGGACGAAATTCAGATTTAGTTCGTTATTTTTCTCTCTGGTTTATTTCAATTTGATATATTTCCCATTTTCGCTCCAAGTTTAGGACGGAAACCGCGGAAAAGGTTTGCGCAGTGACGAAGTCATTTGATAGAAAAAACATCACGATTTCGATGGATGGAAATCACGGAGAATATCCCTCAAAACAATCGTTACGGTGGTCTTTCAAACAGCCGCAAGAGCGGGGACAACAATTTCACCTAGCACTTGCGAAACAAATTAATGTAAAAAGAACAATAGAGAGTGTAGAGGGTCAGCTTTTGACAAAGATGGAAGAGGAATTTCATTGCAAATTTGTTCAAGCGGAAGTTGGAATCTGTGGTTATGCTGTTAAAAAATCGAAAGTAGATTTATATAACGGAAGGATAGATGCTGTCGCTTTGCGTCAAATTCCGGGAGGTGACCCCGAAGTCGTTATCGTGGATTGGAAGACGTTTGCTAAATTTGATTCACCAACGAAATGGTGGGACGAAGCGACATATTTTAAAAATCCTCTTTACCAGTGTTTATTGTATCGTGAGCTTTTGCAAACTCACTTAAAGGTGAACGACATAAATGCTAGCGTTGGCATCATGTTGGTCCCACTCCGTCAAGCACGCCCAGGACAAGTTATGCCAGGCTTATGCACAAATTTTCAACATATGGAAGAAGAGGGTCTATTAGATACCATTAAAAGTTATCAATGGTTTTCCGAGGAAAGTAGATGTGTTCACACTGTTATTTTGCCCAATAAATTATTCAATGGAGAGCGCCTGAGTGACACATATTTAGAAGATGGAATTTTGAAGGAGACAGTTGTGGTTAAAGATATCGTAGATGACAGTGCTACTGTTGGAGACATGTGTGAAGAACTGGGACTTCTAAGGCTCGAGATAAAAGATTCACTAGCTGAGGACGAGGGTTTGTTCCCATGAGAAGAAAATGAGAGCTAAAGTGATGCTAAGAAAAAAGGGCGCTCTAGCCGTTTTAAGGGAATTTAAAAAGGGGAAAAAATAATCCAATTCTAATGATAACATTAGCTTTTGATTAACAGTGCTGGTTACGCTGCTTGATATATTTTCATTTGAACCGAGCAAAATAAATAGTTACGTTGCATATCATAATTTTAATTAGCGTAAAATGTCAGTGTTTAATCATTTACTCATTTATGAGGTATCTACGGTTTTCTTATTAATTGATTGATTGATTGATAAATAACGAATAAGTCATTTAATGATCAAAACGAATCGATTTGGGAGACCTAGGTTGAATGAAAATTATTTTAAAGTAAATGATTTAAACGTGAGGGTGACATTTGATCGTGTAGTATAGTCGGATCGTCTGTTTGAGGGTAGTCCTGAGAAGGACTGTTGTCGGTAGTGGTGACAGACACTTAGACAAGTTTAAAGCCTGCATGGGTCTTGTAAACTGATTGGTCAGTTTTTCCGCGATGTTGTTGTAAGACTCACGCAATAATGTTAGCTTTTCCGTGTACTGGTAATTGTTTGTAATTTTTCAGTACCGTTATACTGAAAGTGAGTAGTAGCTTGAAAAATATAAGACTTGAAAACTAAAAGTGCGCTTCTTTATTAGTTACGAGTAAGCTACTCAAACGATAAATGAATAAGTTGAATTTGCAGACTTTTTCGTTTGCGGGAACTAACAATTGCAATTAGACGCCAAGTTCAATATTTTTCTTTTCCAGAATAAATCAGACACATGAAGAATGTAACGCATAACGCAATAATGACTACCTGAACGAATGCTTCGCTCACGAGGATGACAAATGATGGTCGTGTCTTGCCTACCGCTCTGACGAAGGGCTAACGCTCGAAACGTCAGCTTTTGATTAACAGCGCGGGTTACGCTGCTCATACATATTCACTGAACCGAGCAAAATAAATTGTTACGTTGCATTATCATAATCCTAATTGGCGTAAAATGTCAGTGTCTACTCATTTACTCATAGCGAAGTATCAACGGTTTTTTCATTAATTGGTTGATTGATAAATTACGGATTAGTCATTTAATAATCAAAATGAATCTTTAGGAGACCTAAGTTAAATGAAAATTGTTTTAAAATAAATGATTTAAACCTGTGGGTAACATTTGGTTGTGTAGTCTGATCGTCTGTTTGAGGGTAGTTAAAGCCTACATGGGTCTTGTAAACTGATTGGTCAGTTTTTCCGCGATATTGTTGTAAGACTCACGCGAAAACTTTAGCTCGTTCTATTAAATTCGGTATTACTGTTGGTTAAGTATTGCGCAAAGACCTAGTCAGTAGTGTGGATCAGGAGTCGATTACGTTCAACAGTGTGAGTGTTGACATCGCCATTTCTCGCCCGCCGCACTCGTCTGTTTTAAGTCAGTGTTATGTTAAATTTCTTGCTAGTTTCTCCGATGTACGAAGAGTGGCACTTGGAGCACTTGATCTTGTAAAATGCTCCTTGCCTGTTGTTTGATTCTTCCTTGTTTTCGACGTTAGTATGTGGGTGATGTAGTGTTTTTATCGGTCGGTGAGCGATGCGGATCTTGAAGGGTTGAGAGATGCGCGAGATGGTTCCGTTTTAGTGTACGGTGGTGCAAAATGTATCGTCAACGTGGCGTAGCCATAGTTACATCCTTTTCGGCGAGTCGAAAGAGCGCGTTTTTCGATGTTCTACATTACAATTTCTGCGACGACAACGGAAACTGGCGAGCCAATAGCTGAAAGTGAGTAGTCGCCTGAAAAATTCAAGACTTGAAAACTAAAAGAGCGCTTCTTGATTAGTTACGAGCAAACTACTCAAACAATAAATGAATCAGTCGAATTTTGCTGATTGGAGATTTTTTTGTTTGCAGGAACAAACATTTGCAGTTGGAGAGGACAGAAATTTCCCTTAGACACCAACTTCAATATTTTTCTTTCCCAGAAGAAGTTGCACGAATGAAGGAGCTAACGCATAACGTAATTATGACTACCTATTGTTGATGACTAACTTCCTCTCGACCAGTCTCCATCTGGTTCGGTTTTCCTCCACCTTTTCGTTACCCAGAGAGATTCGTAGATTATGAATACCTGAGGATCTTGGCTAAACATTCGGCTGATAAACGTCGTCCCCAATTAATTCAATCTCTAATTAGCATCCTACGTATTTGGAGCTCAGTAGTGTCCTCGCTATTTCTCCTTTTATTGAGACTGAAGCCTGAACTGGTTGACCTTGGGATGCATGTAAGCGTCATCTCCAACCACTAAGAATGTTCTGGCCGTGGAAACGCTCTCCTTGGTCATGAAAATGGCAGTTTTTGATATGATTTTCGGTTCTTTCCACTTGATGCAGCCAACGAAATTTGCACCCTTTTCTCCTACTACTGGAATACCAATTACACTTATTGTAATGGATACAACTCCCCTATGCCTGCAAGAATACATCGGAATCAGAGGAAAGGAGCATCGAGGATTACTTGCTCTGGAAATTCCACGGCCACTTTTCATCTGTTAAGAAACGGTGATAAGGAATTAAATCCAGAATCTGATAAGAATTCAACAGCTAATTGTCTTAGGAAACAAATGGTGTTTTGTTCAATGAATGCTCGATCGACCAGAAACAAATCGTCTGATATTTTTTTAAATTCATTTGTGATAACAAACCAGATGTAGTTGCTATTACTGAAACCTGGCTTACAACTAGAGCCACTAAAGTTGAGGCTTGTCTTGATGGTTGTAAAATCGAGGATCATACGCGTATTGGATGTCGTGGTGGTGGAACTGCACCTATAGATAGTGATTCATGATTCAAAAAAGCCGATGCTAGCCAGAAAATGAGTTTTCTGAATGACTTATGTCGTCATCGTATACCGGTCGCCGTATTCCGTAGATCATCAAGTACTTGGTAGTGTTTTCATCACGAAGTGTTCTGAATATTTGGAATATCCAGTACTCTGCAAAGAACAACTGCTGATTACAGAAGACTTCAATGTCCACATTGACGATGTGCAAGATCCTAATTCCTCAGCGTTTTTGGACATGTACTTTTATGTTGTCTTCTTTCAGTCTGCACTAACATGCGCATGTCGAAATTGTCTTAGAGTCTTTTCCGTTAAATGAGCCAAAGGCGAATGTGCGTCCCCGGCGCTCGTTACGTCGAACACCTTTCCACGATGCATACGTTTCTTTGATCATGTTAATGACCACAATTATTTTGCTGACCATAAATATCCGTCATGGTTTTGAAAATTACCTCTCATCAACCGAGAGCGAGGGCCGTACCTATGTTAGCGCTATTGGCCAAATCTTGCTTACAAGCACTTATCAGCTATCGGCCGTTGGGAGCAACTATAGCCTTCACCTACTCAATAAATTAGGGCGGTCCTCCCCATTCCCCCCCCCCCCCCCCCCCCCCCCCCACCGGAAAAAAGGAAAGAAAGGAGAGTAGATAGCACAAGTGGAGAGAATAGCTAGCAAATTAATTAGGGGAATATAAACTGATCCAGCACCAAATTCTCAGAAAATGATTTTTTAAGAAGTGTGCGGCGAGGAATTAGGAGAACTTTCATCGCGATATTGGGAGTGAAAAGGTCAAAGATCAAGAATAGTGACTGATACCACAAGCAACTAAGTACCCCGTATTCTCCGATCCTACTAAATGGCCATTCCCTTTCAGGACCACAAATCGTTCGAGCAATACCAGTTAACGAACAAAATACAGTTTTTAGACTTGATTTGATACTACAGTTTGTTATCTCAGAAGCCGTTGGGCATAGAATATTCAGTGAAAGATTCAAATACAACAGCAATTTGTCTGATAAAAGGAGTTTGAGGTTATTTTCTAAAATACAGCCTAAACACCTGGTGCAGAAAAGCAGGATGGTGAACATAAAGTGTCAATTCAGAGTCGTATAATTACAGATAACTTTATTTAAGTTCCTTCTCTTTACTATGTTAAATAGTTTTTTCTTACTTGGGCCTTACCTAAATGAAGCACCTTCCACATACCATCGAAAAACTGCTAGTCAGAATTAACCGAGCTAATATATTTGGACAGAAAGTACCATGCTTTCAGTCCCGGTGAAATATTGGGGAATGTAAAAAATTAATTGGATAATACCACAGTATTAAAGTCAAAGAAGACCAGGAAATCCACACCTTTTGCTAAGGGGATTCTGTAACAAGCAATTTGTGTGTTTCTGAACTTCGCCAAGTTCGTCCACATCACGTCCAACAAATTTGAAAAAAGCATTTTTATACTGGAAACACTACTGAAGTTTTTCATCCACGCGGGTGGAGGGATGAAGTATTTTCCCAATCCTCGGTGTTGAAACGCTTAAATGCACTCTTAAGCATGCGTATTAGAGTCTCAAATTCGCACAGAAAAATCTCGAAGTGTTGTCATCGTCTTCGACAGATTCCGTCCAGAGATGTTTCCCGTCCTTATCAAAACGTAAAGGCGACGATTTTCACTCAGTATTCATTCCGCGAAGTGCGAGTGAAAGTTTAGCATCAAAGGCTAAGACATCCCAATCGGCTTGGAGTCATTACTTTACTAGTATAGGGGACAGCTGTGATTAACTCTGTTAGTTACAAAAGATAAATCGAGCGCTTTGAAATCATATGAACTTTGAGTCCATTTCAAAACCTGAGAGTAAAGAACTGTCTTGAAACAGAACAGAAAAGCATCTTCTTAAAAAAATTTTCCGAATTTCTTCCTGCTGAAAGTTTTTCGTTTCCATTATCACTTTGCAATACATACACTGACTGAAACACTCAAATATTGAAAATAATACGAACATAGCGAAAAGTCGCTTTCGAGTGCTGTACAATTAATGATCATTTTTGCACATTGAAACTCAATAAATACAGTCTGAATGCCTGTTCAAAATTTAGATAATTAAAGAAATTTTGACCAATTAAAAAAAAAAAAACAAAGGTTGGCATGCCTGTGGACATAAGGATCCTGCCAAACTATTCAAGTTTGCAACAGTTGCAGAATGTGAACTTTGATGGTTTTTAAACTGTGATGGTTTGACATTTTTGACAGCTTTTGTCTTGTACAGCCATTCAGATTATTTGAACCATTCAGGGATCCTGATGGGCTTATTGTAGCATACTTTATGAGGGTACAGAGCACGCTGACGACTTTCGTTCGCATTGGAAATAAATTTTGTTTGAAAATTGAAAATAATGCGTGAGGAATTTAACGGATTCTTTATTATAAAACAAATAGAGAAGCCTTGACTGTGCTCTGTTTTGTTGTGAAGCACTTAGGAAGCGGCTAGAGCACTCAAGACTACGTCTCATGTTTCTCCTTACACTTTTTTTGTGCTCTAGCCGCTTCCTGCGTGCTTAACAACAGAACAGAGCACAATCAAGGCTTCTCTATTTATTAAAGAGGGATGAGAGAAAGGTTTGGGTGTTGCTGAATTAATGCCATGACAGGCTTTGCATTGAAAATTTCACTTGTGTGTGGAACACTCTTCAAAGGATTAAGAAGACAACAACTGTTCCTGACGCCATCCCCTATACGGTTTGGAAAGATCATGCTGAGCTGGTTACCCCGGTGGTAACTTGGGTGTGGAATCTATCGTTAAAAACGCATA